CCTTGCACTCCTCAACCTCCTCCATCTTCTTCTAAGCTCCAAACTTCCTTCACAAAGCCAAAAATCACTCAGAAGAACAATATGGGGCCTAAGGTTTCGCTCTACAGCTCTCTGTATGGGTTAGGGACAAGGGAGGCCGAGCTAGAGTTGTTTAAATAAGGTGTAAACACTCGGGTTAGGGTTTTACTTGCCCAGCACAGACTCACCGAGTCCCTCACTTAAATCTCGCCCCAAAATTGCTCATACTCGGCGAGTCGAGCCTCCAACTCGCTAAGTCCAATGCAGAATGAGAAAAATATAAGAATAGAAATCGTACCCAGGAATCCGATGTTACAGAAGCTTCGTCTTCTCCAAAAGTTATGGATGTACATGTCTACTGATTTCCTAAGAATACATGTAGTTTTGATAAGAGTATCAACAATTAAGTTGGTGAGTTCATAAGCATGTTTGTAATTGAAATCTATTGTATGTTCCTTGAAAATGTAAGTGTGTATTCCCAGAAAATCCTATATTTTCTGTTGTAATGTGATGAGCTCAAAATGTGTAAATGTTATTGTACTCCGAGACAGTATAATGTAGTTTTAGTTCACATGAAATCCTGAAAAGTACGTTTTCTCTGTACTGGAATTGTATTCTGTTTTTTACAAATATAAAAATGGTGTAATTGTAACTGTTTGAATTCACCAACTATACTTGTAAAATATTGTATTATAGTCTTATTATTTAATTAAAACTATGTGAAGTTGTTTACTTATTCATACACTAATCGTATTGTTCAATACCAAATTGTGAGTTGTTAACACCATGTTTGATAACCTAAGATGGCCTAAACACAACGTTCTTCAGATGTTGGAATTAGTACGACATTTGTAACCACAGGCCTGCCAGCCTAGCTGTTGCAAGCAGCTCTGCTACAGGATTGTCGGTCCCATATAGATTTATACACAAGTGTCACGCTCTCCCTACAAGGGACTCTGGTTATAATTTTAGGACTTGGTTGGTACTCAGATAAGTACTTCAAGTGTGTCTCACAAATGCTATATTAACGGTTACGTGTAGAATAATGAAAAGTTACTTTATAATTAATAAACTGTAAGTATATCTCATAAACTATATTTAATATAGTTTATATGTTTGTTTTCTGTAATGTATTCTGAATATGTAAAGTAGTGTATATGTTTCATAAGCTATACCTATTATAGTTTATATGTTTGTTATCCGTGTTGTAATCTGAACTTTGAAAGCAATATATCAGTTTCATAAACTATACCTATTATAGTTTATATATTTGTGTTTTACTACAAAAAAAATCTTTGTTTAAATTGTAAAATATGTATTATGGTTATCTGTTGAAATTCAATATTTATGTCCAAATGGTACTAACACAGTTTGCAAAAATTATATTTTTGTTTAACAACTTTGAAATCCTTTTATACTTATATAAATATAAGATTTATATAATTATGATTAAATAGGCAGTTGAATAAATAATTCTACCTCAAGCCCACAACCAAACAAGGAACAAGAAATTAAGCCAAATTATCAATTCTAAGTCTGTTGAACCGTAATTATATAATTTATACATATATAAATATATATTTTTAACAACGGCAACAGTTAATAAAATATTGAAAACATTTAGATATTAACACAAGTTTTATTGTGTTACACTTGTATCCCCCCTTAAAAAGGTGAAAAATTATGAAAACGTAGGGGTATGAACTCCCCTTGTGTGTGATAATGGTTTAGCTAACCAATAGAAATGGTGACTTTAGATTAGAATACAAAATTGATAGCCGTATCCTAACATTTTTAAACATATATTAACTGTTATAAATTAGTTGATCTTAATAATTTATAGAGTTTAATAACACTAGTTTTATAAATAAAGCTTACCAAAGTTTGTAACTAATTTCATGTGAAGATCTTGGAATGAAAAGGAAATAAACTAATATTTTAGATGGGTTGAGAAGATTTTGTGGTCACTGGATGTGAAAAATGGAACAATGATCCCTTTTTATACTTAAATATGAAGAAATATGGAGGTGGTTTGAGTGATTTCGGCCAAGAACATAATCCGAGGAATGGGGTTCTCGGTGTGGAACTTTACCCGAGGATAAATGTTTTCGGCTGAAAAGGGAATCCCTCTGAGGAGGGTTTGCTGCTGGAAGGGACTTTACGGTCCGAGGGTTCTCGGCCGAAAACTGGTTTTCAGTCTAAAGGATATACGGCATGCGAAGGTTTTCGGTTGGAACTGTTTTCGGTCCGAGGCTTAGTGGTTCTATGCGAAACTTCTCGGTTTTGATGCATTTTGATTTTTTTATTTAATAAAGGTTATATACAAATTAAAGTATTAATTTAACTTTAATAAACTAACAATTCAACAACTTAGACTTTTATTTAGCAAGTTTGACTTTTGTTGACTGTTATAGATTTGAAAATAACAGGTTGTTACAGTCGATGATTAGGTTGCAAGTTGGTTGAAGAGCATTTGTGTTCATCAACAATTTCGATACTTGAATAAAGTCCAATCGAATTTTACTTTCCCTTTGCTCTGGTTAACTAAGAATAATATTTTCTAACATAAACAACCTCATACCTTGATTTGGTTGATCTACTAGTCTTCAACTAAAAACCATCATCAAGACATGTTTTCTCAATCGCCAATTTAAGAAGGTCATTGTTTCTAAATATCTATAGGCATTCAATATTTTGATTACAGTCTATCGTTTGCGATGGAATATTGTCATTACCATTAATTGGACATGCCGGTAACGGTGGCATACCATAAAAAGATTATCAGAAAATACAGGTTTAGGTTCATCACCCGACTCATCTCCATTAGATTAAATATATAAGTAGGATACATCCAATTATACATCCATAACATCAGGAAAATCCCCATAAACATTTAGGTTATCATTGTTCTGAATCATAACATTTTTGTTTCATCTACTATGTTGATGTCGTTAACCTTGACTTTTTGTTAGCGATCGTTAACAAAACGGACACCCTCATCATTAAGATATGTAGCAACATTATCATCACTAACAAACTTATAATGTTCATGATCCACATAGCGAATTAGTGAATACACATTTATATTTTCAGCAACACTATGAAACTGAGATACACTAAGAGTCATAAAAGTACCTATTGCCTTGCTCACTTTCTCGCTGGATATGTTTCCAACAATCAATTTTCCTCTTTCGTCACCTTCGTCAAGCACCATAAACACTTTCAGAGCCTTTCCTCCAACTAATTTATTATGTTGATCAACATTCTAATATTCATGTCTTAAACTATAGTCATATAATGATGCAATTCAAGATGATGGAAGCAAAGATTAATTTTATATCTAGGAAACAAATTAATTTTTATTTTTATAAAAAATATAAAATCACTGTAACTAATATACTCCAAAAAAAATTAAAGCAGATACATAAATTCCTCCCTATGAACAAATTTATTCCAGATTTCTCTCCATTAACTCCCACCTCCTGCTTGTTACCACCCAAACCAAATATTTACTCATTTTTATACAAAGAACCTAAACAATATTTCTAAAGAAATAACTAGTAAGATAAGTTTTTTTGCTAATTTTTATATAAAGTCTATCTATTTTTATGAATTCATAGTCAACAATATCTGACTTCGTACTCAACCTTACCAAATCTAAATCTGTAGTCAAACTTAAGTTTAAAAAAATAATAATAAATAAAATATTATAATCTCAGCATAAAATCACAGATGGAATACAACCCATATGCGATTTGGTGGAATAGATTTCAAAAAATATCCTTTTTATAATCTTTGTCATGGATATGGATTAAGACTCACAAAATAACAGATGGATATGAAGGAAATAGCAAATTGACTCACCAAATATAAGATTGACCCCACGATATAATAGCAGATAGAAGGTCATAATTGCATATGAGATCTAACCACCAGCAATTATAGCTAGTGACTATTTTGCGTAAATTGTTATTTTATTTATTTTTTAATATTTTGAGCATATTAGTTAGCAAATTTGGCTAAATTATCAGATTTCTCTTGTTTTTAATGTCATAATTAGTAAAAGCTTATGCTAGCAGTTAGATAAAATGTTCTTTTTGTTCTTCGTTTTATTCATGTTTGTATGATAAATCGCTTCCAACTTTAATCTATCTTAATTACATTACCACTCTTTTATTCTTATTCATTCGTATTTCAAATACAGAAATAATAATGGTATTCATGTTGAATGATGAGTTAGTCGAAAGTGAACACACACTGGTAGAAAAGTGGACCCAAATATGTATTTCAGATCGATTAAAATAGTTCAGCCGACTATGTCGACTTAAAATGGTCAATCAAATAAATCTTTGTAATATTCAAAGCAATACTCCAACTTGTTGAATTGTTTACATGATTATCTACAAGTAGTTCAATAAATTATTGTATTTTTTGATATAAATTACATATATAATCCTGGCTTTCTTTATTCAATTCAATTCCAAGTTGATATGTATTTAGGTTTCAATAAGTGTTTTGACTTTTCGTTTTCAATATTATAATTCTGGATCTACGTATTTGAATATGAGTTTGAAACATCGATGTTTAAGAAGATGAAAAACAAGGATGAACATAAGTGAAATTATACTTTTACTACTTCGATGATTGCCATGTACAAGTTAACAAATAGTTTGAAACAAACCACTTGTATAGAAGTTTCCTTTCTATAACTGGTATGGGCTTAGGGCTTACATATAGTCTAAGGACAATACTTTATAGTCTACTCAAGTACTTCTCTATAAAGGAAACAAAAGATTAGTTTCTGTTGTCATTAACTTTCCCATCTTATTCTCTTTACACTTCCTGATGGATGCACTTTCATGCATACTCACATACATACAACTATGTCTATACGGTATTGCATATTACTTTACAGTCCTACTTCTATCCCATAACCGTCCCACCATTTACCTTGATAATTTTAATGTTGTTTCCAATTCGTTGACAAACAACGCCACAATCTATTTGGACCTGAGAATCGAGAATGAAAACTCGTTGATAGGCATTTACTACGAGGATCCTCTAAATCTCACCATCACTTATTTGCCACCAACAAAATCATCAGGCAGCAATGTTACTATCGGACAATGTGTCATTCGAGGCTTTTATCAAGGGAGCGAGGAGGTTAAACAAATCCAACTTTCAGTCGTGGTTCAAGACTTGTTTTCAACTACTGAACAACGAAGGAGACTGGGTTCAGCTAAAGTGATCGATTTCGTAGTTGATTTGGAGGCGAATATAAAGTTCATGTTATTTGAGAACACAAAGTCGCATCTGATGATCCGATCTGGTGTGGAGGTTAACGACAACACTGGGACATCTGTGTTAAAGACTATTCAAATGAAGTATGCTTCTGGGTCGAATAAGTGGGGAGTTGTGAAATGGCTAATGACAGTTCCTTTGTCTCTTCTGTTCCATTTTGTTTTTTATTGCGCTTGTTGGTTAGCTTTCAGATTTTTTTCATTTGTTTTTTTGTGTCCGTCTAATTAAGTTCTGAATCGGTAGCAGGGTGTAATTCGATATGTTAAATCAGTAATAGGATTAGTAAGTTTTTTAACATCTAAATATTACCCGTAACCCAACCTAACAAGAGTTAGTTATATCGGTTTTTGATTATTCTATTTTTACAACATAAACCGAATAAAGTATCACTTTAGCGATGTATATGATTAATTTTACTTTATTCCTATATATTTGTTTAATTTGCTTAATATTTAATATGATATAAAACACAAATATAAATTACTTTAGTTGTTAATTATTAAGTAGTATGTTTAATAAAACATTTTGAGAAGTAATTAAAATTCAATCTTAATTTATTATACTAAAATAAAAAAATTTATCGAATTGATAACTTTGTTTATTTGGTTTAACAAAGATAGATATATTATAAGCAAATAAGTCATCTTTATTCCGTAAACCAAACTAAATTACCCAAAAACAAAATAAATTAAACTAAGTAACCCAAGCATCATCTAGTTCGGTTTGGTTATTCGGTTTTGGTTGTTTCTCAAACCACTTCACGACATGATAACAAAATAAAAGACATGAAACTAAATTTGGATGAAATTGAAATGTCAATTTGTGTCCATGTATAGTGTTAAAAACATGTTGTGTCGTCTTGTGTTCGTGTTCAAAATTTGACACGAAAATTCAGACGATATTAACATAGGTTTGTAGTGTTTGTTGTGTTTTATGTGATTTCCTATGAATTAAATAAACTAATCATTATTGTAGGCTATCTTTGTATTGTCATGTGATATTTACATAATTCAATTGTTTTCGTGTTGGTAAAATAACAACATTGTGGTGTGTTGTATTTGTGTTTCATAAAACTACTCAACAGTATCATGTTAGACAAAAGTATGACACAATTTGTGTGGCTTAACACCTATATATGCACCCTATTGGTTTAAATATCAATTATCTAACTTAGACTAAATTACAAAAATGTTTCATGTGGTTTCGTGATTGATGTGTAAATGAGCTCTTGTTTTTTAAATTTATAAACGACTTTACTAGAACTCGGGACTATTACACAACTAAACACTATATCTAATCTTATACTAGTATAACCGAGGTACATGTTATCCAACCCTAGAGGAGAAGGTACATGTTGTCCAAAGCTAGAGGAGCGGATTCAGTTCAAGAAATCTAATTGCTAATTAACCTAAAACAACTAAGTAAATGGGGGAATTTATCTAAAATAATAGATTAAGAACATCAGCAAACACAAGTAAATATGATATAAGAAACTGATTTGGAAACAGATAAATAAAGGTACTTATACTCGATTACTCCCTTTATGGTTGGTTTCTTGGTCGTGCAATGGATATTTAGTTCATTATTCACCGATTCCTAGGTTGCTTATCCTCTTGATCCGATTCTAACCTTAATGATGATAATTACATTACCTTAATTGTGATTATATTAACTAACCCATATTATCAATTTTTAGTTCATATCATTCAAAATTTGATCTTGTAATTAATCTCAAAGGCCATGAAAATTAATTGGTATACATAATGGTCAACCAACGTAAAGCAACACATTAAGGTTCATTAGATTATTAACCTAACCCTATGATTCTTTTTGTCACTAGTCATAATTGCCAATGGTCACAATCACCTATGATTCAAGTAAACATAGTCTGAGTGCTCCTCTGGATAATATTAACTCACTAATACGGAATAATGATCCAAACATCAACATATAAGGATCTTTGATTGAGAAAACATAACAAATTAAACTTCCAATATCTAAATAGAAATCAAACCATGATTTTAGGGTTCATCTACACCTCACCAAAAGAAAAAGGTTTTTTAGCCCAAAATCAGAAAGAAGAACATAAGGAAATCCGAATAGAATGCTACATATAGAAAATAAATCAAACCAACCGAATCCCTAGTGATTCTGCACTTGATTCTTCGAATTCCTGATATTATCCTTTCGGCCTTCAAAATGCCTTCTGGACTCTCAAATCACTCCATTTGTTACTTAATGTCGTTGTTAGATGCTATGATGATAGAGGAAAGGCTATTTATACTTTTCGTAGACAACCTCAATTACACGGCATGTATGGATAATATGTTCGATTAGTGTCTAAGTCCATAACTATTTTGGTATGTACTTGACCCGATGGTGCATGGTCCTTTTAGGTTGCCTTCACCAAAGCAACTTGATAAGATGAATTATGGAGAGAGAGGATTAATTGTGATTTATTAATATATTATGAGAATAATATATTAAAAGAGAAATCATATTGTTTAATTAATATTAGTCAAGAATTAATTGACAATTAATTTTGAGGCTGAAAGAGATTAATTAAACTTAAGGGAATGGAATTGTAATTATAAGATAATTGCAATTAGGCTATGGATTACCTTATTATATAAGGTTGGACGAATTCTATGGGGAACCCATTAGAAATCATCCAAGGCCTTTAAGACAGGAATCCATGGGCCGCTTAGGGCTTAAGCAGTCATATTAGGGTTTCCTAGTTTAAAACCATAATAGCTTACATGTATAAATAGCACCCTTCAGCCCCAAAAACGTGTTCCATACGCTTCGGGTGTAGGATCGATTGCAAATGCTATAATATTTGACCATTCTAAAATTTTCCAAATGTCTAGCACATTTAGAGGGAAAAGGACAAGAATCGGTTTTGACTAAGATAATTAATCAACTATCAAAGGACGATCCAAAGCTTGCTGAGGATTGGTCGCTTGTGAGTAGTTGGAAGTATGATATTGGATGGAGCATATCGACATAATTATGAATAGATAAGATTCTATTAAGAATGAGTTGCGATATGGTAAGTATTGAAAGGTTTCCATATTGGGAATTGGATATTGAGAATCTATGTCTAGATTAGAAACTTTTATGCAAAAGGATGTTCAAAGGAATGTACTTTGAGTAAGAGACATTACATCTATGGAATTGTTTTTGCAACAATTTCCGATAGAGAGCTTTGTAATTCATTGGCAATAGTCATTGTGACCTTAGTGCAGTTACATTACAAAAGGATCATTGCATAAAATGTTAGAATCTAGCATATTCTACAAGTGGCAAGAATTTGATATTATTGCACTTGTGATAAGGATTGGGAGCTATGGAATGAGTATGATTGGAAATGTGTTCATTTGATCTATTTCACAAAGTAAGAACCATATGTAAACATTGTGTGCATGCTGAGAGCATGGGACAAGTGTTGTAATTCAAGTAAGAAGTTGATTACCCGAAACAACAAATAATGAGTAATTGATATGGTGATAAATAAAAAGTGTTTTATTTATACTCAAAAGGTTTAAGGTCATATGGGATTAGTATTATTCTTGTGTTTCACTTTGCATGTTTTGACTTCCTGAATAATTTAATTGGTTAAGAACAGTCAAATTATTCAAACGAGCCACAGTCGATTCATATTTTGGAAGTAGGTATGAATGAAGACTGTCGTGAATTGGTGTGTGGATTGTCTAAAGAGTATTAGACATAAGCAAATGTTTGTTGCAATGTTCATGAGTGCTTATGAATATGATTTGAGCATTGGATTAAACCCACGCTCACTTGGATCACTCCATGAATTGTATCACTAGTGATTCGTGAGATGATAATATCTTATATTCTTGAAACCGAGATGTGTGAGTTGTATCTTGCAAATCGGTTGCACATTGATAATATGTGAACGCACCAGTAACTTGGTGTTATAAAGCATATTGTTGTGTGGTATTCGGTGAGTAAGTGCAAGCGAACATTGATTCAAAGTTTATCCGTTCCTTTTATCCAAAGTAGGATAAAGGCGATATCTTTGGGCCCCTCGATGATTTAGTGATGACAAACGTAAATGCTCGGCCGGGCTAGGGCTAATTTGATTTGTTCAATTAGTCAATCGTCAGAAATCGGAAGTCGAGAAATGGTACAGAGAGAATGATTCGAAATCATGTCTTATACGATATCTAGAATGGAGGAATATATGATCCCTTATCTAAAGGACACGCGTATATGATAGGATCAAAGTTGACAGCGGCTTTGGAAAGCTACGATTGCAAATCAGGATCTGAATTCATACACAGAATAGTTATTAGACTTATCCAAGTGGGAGACTATTAGATTAGTGTCTAAGTCCATAACTATTTTCGTATGTGCTTGACCCGATGGTGCATGGTCCTTTTTGGTTGCCTTCACCAAAGCAACTTGATAAGATGAATTATGGAGAGAGAGGATTAATTATGATTTATTAATATATTATGAGAATAATATATTAAAGGAGAAATCATATTGTTTAATTAATATTAGTCAAGAATTAATTGACAATTAATTTTGAGGCTGAAAGAGATTAATTAAACTTAAGGGAATGGAATTGTAATTATAAGATAATTTCAATTGGGCTATGGATTACCTTATTATATAAGGTTGGATGAATTCTATGGGGAACCCATTAGAAATCATCCAAGGCCTTTAAGAAAGGAATCCATGGGCTGCTTAGGGCTTAAGCAGTCAGATTAGGGTTTCCTAGTTTAAAACCATAATAGCTTACATGTATAAATAGCACCTTTCAGCCCCAAAAACGTGGTGGTGAGATCCTCTAGGGTTTTGGACGATTTTGGGTAGCCTCCTTCTCTTCTCTTCTTCATCCTCTTGCTCTTGGTGTTTGTGAACCATTAGAGGAGTGACATTTGTGACTCTAAGCTTTCTAAAGTTATTACAAGAAGGATTTTAGATTGTTATTGCTACATAAAAATCAAGGTATGATCTAAACCTTAATTCATATGTTATATTGATTATCATATACCAGATCTAGGGTTTATAGTCTTGGATGATTTGCATGTACAATAGACAAACCTAGATCCAAGCATTAGGGTTTGTATGAGCACATAGGATTTTCTTATGGATAAAACTCAGTGGTATCAGAGCCTTGATTGGTTTCTATTGTATTGATGCATTATGTGTTTGTTCAGGTTGCAAATTCGATTTTTGGCCAACCTGCCTGA